AATTTCTTTCCGATGAAACTTTAACGATACAAGACCTTTCTTAAATAAAACTGGTTTATTCTTTCTCAATACAACTTTGCAATACACTTAATTTCCACAGTCACTTTCACTTAAACACGCTATATAATTCACAACGATTCACACACTTTACTTACGGTCACTACTGCGCTTGGCTCAATTATCCGTTTCTATCTCTGCCTGTCTGCAATTATCTATACCGTCACTTCTTCTCTACTCTTTATTTGCCGGTCTTATATATTAAAATAGAGGGCGCCTAGAAAACGCTGGGGCCTTCATGATCCTTCTAGAACCTCATGACGTGTTACCAGATCACGTGACTTCTGCTGTCGTGACAATAGTTTTTTCCGTGAAAGTGAGTTCTAAAGTAACAGAACCAGCCTGAATGCACTTTGACAAAAGGACCAGACGATTATGGAAGATCAGTATACGACAGATTAATAGACGATGTATTCCCACCGCAATGTAGGTACTACTTCTTCAGTTATCTCCAAAACCCAGGGCACCTTCCCACAACTGTCTGCAGGCAGTGAAGCCTTCAAAACGAAATAAGGTACTACCACTCCTGAGGTTAGCATTCCAGCCCCTAATATAGTGGTAAAGCATTAATTTAATTTAATTAGTAGCACAATAGATAAATTATACTAGTATAAAGTTATAAAAGCACAACCAAATTATAAAAAACTAATTAGTATAATTAGTATTCCTAACGGTCACCCATTAAATCCACTTTAACTACCAATTTTCAGCCTTTACACAATATTTTATATGCAATAAGGTGTTCATCCGCATAAAAGTAGTGCCAAGTTGTTTAAACCACCTCATTAAAAACTAAAAATACTTATCGGAAACTTCCGGTAAAAACTCCTTATTTTTTACATCTTCGTATATATATATTTAATACATTTTTATATTTATCACAAAATATTTTAATAATATTATTTAGAGTTTCTTTATCAAATCCATTGGATATTAATTTTTGCATCAACATTTCAATATTAATAATGAAATATCGTAAGTTATTACAAATTTTACAAAATCTGAATAATTGTGAAGTTATAATACTTATAACAGAAGAGTATGGCACATTACGATTAAAAGAGTGTGAGCCGTATATTGGAAAAGAAAAATATTTTCTTTTATCAAAAATATTTAGATTGATATCATTATCAATTATTTTAATTTCTAGATCTAAATAATGTGCCTCTACACCCGAAATTAAAGAATTTCTAATTCTACCGGGTAAATAGTATTAATAAAATTATTTATCTCTGGATTATTTATACTAATTAAATCATGTATAAGTTAAAGTAAAATTTTCCAGGTTTATGCAATGTTCAATAAACCTATTCTCATAAAAATAGATATAAATTTGCAATACAAGTAGAATAGTTAGTTCCCATTGGAACATATTTGAATATCTGGTTATTGAAAAAACATGATTATTATAAATAGAGAAATTTAATATATCTTTTATATTTTTGGAGCAAAATTTTCTTTTCTTTTTTAGTACTATGAAAGGATAACAGAATTGTTCTTTTAATGAATCCATAACAGAAATTAAATATTTCAATGGAATTGTGGTATACAGTGTGGTAAAATCTAATGTTTGAATATTTTTCACTTGTTCACACTTATTTAGGTATTCTAAAATGAGTTGATTATTTTTCATTATCCAAAACGTCTGTTTCTTATTCATACTATTTACATTTTTAATTTTATCAAATACAATGTTAAGCAATATATTTAATATAATGGTCAGTTGTTTAATAATTGTATACACTGTGCGATAGTTAGGTAACTTTCTAGGAAGAGGTATCAGACAAACCAATGGCAGGAGGTGTGCTTTCTGTTACCCGCTTTCAACACTCGGCTCTTAATGTCCTTCTACAGTGTTTCACATGGTTAATTAATTGACGGTCATTGGCCACAGAAATGTCGTACGGGCAAGTCAAAGTAGAAAGTGGGTATAACTCAAGAAACGGCTCTTCATATCAGTCTTATGGTGGCTGTTGAAGTAGAAACTTCAGGCGAGTTTATTTGTGTATTATTGAAATAGTGGCAGCCATTTTTTTCATTGCATTACTTCACAGAAAATGCTAGGGCATTGTCTGAGATATATAAGACGTTTGTGTGGCCTCCCCACACTGTGTTTGTGTTGTGTTATAGAATTTTTTTTTGTTTTTGGTAAAAGGACGTAGCGCCATCTGTCAATGTAGTTAACTTAGTCAAATATAACAAATACTCAATAACAGCAAAACTACCATTCCACAAAATTTGGTTGAGATTGGCCCAGTGACCTAGGAATAGTTAGATAAAGGACAAACAAAGAGACACAAAGATATTTTTGCTTCATATATATATATATATATATAATATTCAACTAATTCTACAATATATTAATGGTGTAATTCATGTGTAGGAGTACATGTGTTAGAATATATTAGATAGTATTTCT